ATTGCATTACTGTACTTTAGGGAAAATTTACTGCCAATAAACAAACACTAACATAATTATATATTTTCGGAAAATATTTCAGCCGCTCTGAGTCGCTTTCCTATTCTTCCTTTATTTTTTCACACAGTTTTAATAGATAAGATTAATTCATACTAATAAACAATACATTAAATTTAAATCTAAATAATATAATGTTAACAAACAACTAAGAATAATTAAAACGTGGACATAGTGTCGCTACTATAATAATGAGATTAACATTTTTCAATCTTTTTATACAGTAATCAATTTTATATAGCCGGAGTTATGTATTGACCTAGGCTACTACAGTATGGCTAACGACAGGTACGCTTTCTCCATTAAAAATGCTTTTTCCTATGAATGGAATGACTTGTACGAAGCACAAACTCCTGTAGACCAAACCCAGTACCATTACCGGGAAATATACTCAATGCAAGTCATTGTTGCTCTTTCAAGTCTTCCTGTATCACTGTGCTTTCTGCAGTACATACTTTTAGCCAATTATGAGAAGGTCCCATCAGCATTGAACTAGGGCGCTATCCAGCACAAGTTTAGCAATCGTTAGATTCTAATTATTTATTCAATGTACTTTTAGTGTCTGTGTAAAATATTTAGTCCATGAAATCTTGAATTGATTAATAATATTTAGTCCATGAAATATTGAATTAATTAATTAATTTAATGTCCATAATGTCATATCCGGTCATTTTTGCATCAAGTGTAAAAGTAAATAGAAACATTTAATTTTTGGGTAAAATTCTGTTATTAGGTACCTCATAACATAAGTTCATAATTCCATATAGTCACATCGTATAAGTGTCAAAGTTCATAAATTGCATTTCCAGTCATTTTCTGAGAAAATGTTCCATTACAATAAATATAGATGTATTTATTCTGAACAAAATGAATGATCTAATCAAAATGACCAGTAGTATTTTGAGATATACAAATATGAGGTCAAAGGACAAAATGACAGAAACGTCATTTCCAGTTATTTTTGGACGAAATTTTTCATTAGAGCAAATAGAAATATGTAGGTTGTGAACAATTTAAGACCAAAATAAAGTCTCTACAGTTTGTAGTTGCCAAGTTATGAGCCCTTTTTTTTATGGCGACCATCTTAAGATCAAGATGGCCACCATAGCGAACGTTGGAGGCTTGGCAACCCGCTATATTTGATTGTGCCAAGTATTGGTAATAAAATGCACAACTTGGCTATTTTTGTGGCATTAACTGCTCTAATGAGATTAATTATGGTAGTCTTTAAAGAAAAAATATAGCCAACATGATAGCTAAAAGTTTAGTTGTATACATTAAATTCTTATTGTTGTGAATTTGTTATGGATTGGCCATTTATGAATAACCATGGTGTAATTAAGTATAGTATTACTTAATCATGAAAACTAGATTCTCTTTCCATATCTTATAACAAATCAATTTAGAAATATCAATGCTGATAGCTACCTATTGATTTTGTAGGATTATTCAAGAGTGACCATCTTTACAGGAAACTAGATAAAGCGACTTCTTGTAAGGTATTTTGAATGTGATATTTTCACATTTTCAGATTTGAATTCTTAAACATTTGCCTTAAAAATTATGGTTGGTTGTTGTTTTTAAATTTGTAAATTGTCATATTTTAACGAGATAAATTTCTTCCGGGATATACAGCTGTAAAGTTTTGTATTATATTTTTTTTAAATTCAATTTGAGGATACCTGTACGTTCCATTTTCAGTGTACCTCTGATACTTTTTTTTTTTTATAACAACTTGTACAATGAACGAATGTCATCATAAAAAAAATTGTCTGCTTTTGAACTGATATTAGGAAGAAATATGAAAATATATCTTCAAGATGACCTTACACTCCGGGACCCTATTCAAAATCATCAAACAACCATTACTATTTAATGACCTTCATGGGCAGGAGTTGGAAGAGTAACAAGTAGTAATCTGTGCCATTATTTTCATTGACCATACTTCTCCCACTCACCCAATTGGTCACCCAATCATAAATGACACTTAAACATTAAACATTATTCAGAAAAAAAATCTATTTGTTAGCAAAAACCCTTGTTATAGTATCTGAATGTCATACATGGTCGTAATAAATGTGGGCGGGGCCACCCAGCCTTGACGCTTTCTACCCAGTCTAAAGCTAATTTCATGGCCCTTCACTCACCTTTATTTAACCTCCATGCCCATCCTTAAAATCCACTCTTTATTTTAAGTAGAGCTTACTCACCCATGTCCTCCCTTAGTTTTCTCTTTCTATGCTAAAACCCTGGTCATTATTGGCTCGCCTATTACAATAGGATAGCACCATTATGTTTACAACAGCCCTAGATTTATAGAAGTATGATCAATTTACTGCTGCTTCAAATTCTGTGTACACTGAAAAAGACACGTATCCCCCTACTGAGAACACATCATCAGTGCTACTTATTGTAGAAGGCAATAGTTGCTTGTTCATTTGATTTTTTTTTACTACGGATATAGGCTTAAGAAACCTTCCTAAGGATTGCAATGAATTGAATGGTGCATTAGCAGGTGTAAATTATAAGCCTACCACCTATTACACTACGCCCTATGCTTTATCGTCGACATACATTAAACCGCATTTATAGATGAGCTTGTCAACTCACGAGATGTCAGCTTATTATATGTTTTGTCTGCATTTTTTTGCAGAAATATATGTTGTGCTAGCAGTACTGTATATTTATTACACGATATAATGATATAAAGTAGCCACAGCTGTTGCTCAGTATCATGATTTTCCATTTCATATAAAGTGGAAAAAAACACAAGAATGACATTCTGTGCAAAATTTGTTGTATTTTTTAGAATGGAATTAATTTATGCATTAGATAGTTAGCTAACAGCGACTCTGAAAAAAAAACCAGGCATGAGGCCATAACTGATTCTACATTTTGATCTTTATTAGAACATTATAAGTCCAAGATGATGACAAACTTAACTAACAGAAATAAAAACAAAAGATAAATTCTGACCAATCAGAAAAATGTAGGCAGTTTAATTTTAAGAGACAACATGATCTGCTGATGATAAACAAATGTTTATTGTAGAACAAAGGCCTTGCACTTACCCTTAAAGGAATAATGCAATCTCTTTAGAGACTCTGAGACCATAGTTTTTTAAACTAATTCCTCCATGTATCTAATTCTTATTGCCAAGGCTTTAGCAAATAAAATTTATGACCAATGTACAGAACCATGAATAATATCAGTATTTTCAAATCACGTCTTTATAAGAGATTGTTTAGTAGCTGACAATAAATATAGAATATTATATTAGATATAATTTGGAAAAGGAGGTTTTTGTTATTCTGGTTATTCTGTCAATTTTAAAGGTTGTAGGTTTTGTGCAACTTATTCTATGCATTTAAATTCTATTGACTGAATGGAAACTTTAATTTTTTTTGTGTGTAATTTAATGACAGTAGTAACTTTGACCTTTATCAATCTTTATAAACCATTCCCACTTGCTTGCCAATTGCTGCATTAGTTTCCCATCAGGTCATTGGAGCAGCAATCCTATAATCCATGCTTTGAATCCTGGGTGTCACAAATGGGTTGTTGTAAACTAGTGACATGAAAATAATTCATGAAATATTAAATCTGTCAAATTGCAGCAATTATAGTAAACAAACATAGTAAATTGAAATTGCTACGTAATACTGGATAGGTAATTAATTATTACATCTTTTGTCCCATATCAGACCTGCCAACCCTTGGGTCATGAAAATCTGGAGATTTTTTTAAGAATCTTAAAAAAATCAGAGATTTACCAAAAAATCTGGAGGTTTCCAGAATTAAACTAAAAGATGATGCAAGACACCAAAAAAGTCACTTCACTGCAAATCATTGGCCATTGGTGGCGACATTCGAATTGAAAATGGCTGCTTGTTTATTGCACCTCAAAGCGGCGAATACATTGAATAATAACGATCAAATCACTCATATTATGCATAAATCGGAGTATTTTTTGGGAGGGGGTGGCCTTTGAAATTGGATGAAAATTACATTTGATCGGAAGAACTGGAGATTTGTATAAATATTGGGTGACACCCGACAGGATCGGGTGAGTTGGCAGGTCTGCCATATTCAAGAATGTAATTGTTTTTATCATTTACCTATTTTGGTATTTTTATTTGATTGTAAATTGTGAGCAATTTAACCTTGGCTACAATTCACTTTTTGTCAATTGCTTTCTCCTTTTTGTATTGTTTTGAATAAAATATACCATAAATAATAATATACAGTACATGTAATAAAAAATAAAAAAACAAATTTATATTTTGATAGTAGCAGGCATATACTGTACCTTACAAACATCAAAACATTGTTGATGATATGGAAGGAGGGTGGTGTGTCTGTGTGTGTTGACAACGAAATTAACAGATTGTTGTTATAAATAATTACATGGGATTATCATTCAATTCATAATGCTGTTGACGATCAATAAGTACATAATTTTCAAATGTGCCATTAATTTGTTGTGATTAGTACATGTCCTATGTCCATTCAAGTAGTGTTTCATAGTATAAAAACTTAAATGGAATTTGGTGATGTTAATGAAGTTTGTTGTTAGGTAATCATCACAGTGTTCAGTGTTAATTTCACAGACTTTACATCTTAATGCAAAAAAAAAAAAATCCTTTAGCCAGCCTCTAGTCAACTTTGCTTAAGTGTTAACACACACAAATCAAATTTCTTGTCATACTGTAGCTTGCTCGCTCACGATCTTAATTTTCATAGGCCCTCCTAGGGTTGAGGGGAAAATTAGAGTTATTATTATGAATGATACTTTGTGCTTGAATTTTTTTTTTTTTTCAGGTCTTCCATAGTGAAAATAATGCATTCATTTGGAGTTTTATTTTATTTTCCTTTGTGTGTTTTTTCTGTCATTAATAATTCTATTCTAACATTTGTACAAATTACGTTATCTTTTTCTACAGGTTCGGGACATGATGTTGTGATGGAGATCCATGCTCATAAAGAAGGAGTGTGGTCTGAACAGATCCAGTTGTTGAGTAAACAAGACAACAACAACCAAATCACGCTAGTCATTCATGCGAGGGTTATGGGTAGGTCAGCCAGTCCTATTATAAATACTGCAATAAAAACCTCATTGAGTTTGAATGAACAATTAATTCTTATGGCCTTTAAATGTTCAAAAGGGCATGCCCCTCCATACTTCAGCCAAATTTATTTTTAATGACAATATCCATTCAAATTGCACATGAAGCCAAACAAACAATTACTTAATTGTACCACCTTGGAATATTTGCCAAGGTAAAAGAACATTGTTTTATCATGCATCTATTAAAAAGTTGGAGTAAAAGTTTCAAATCATGTACAAGGGTAATGCTAAACTAGTATTTTTTATTTAGTCTGATATTCTGATAATAAAGTGTTGTATATTTTTTATGCCTATATAAAACGCATACTTTGTCTACTTGGGGGATTATTCTATAATTAATTGGAACTATTAACCATTCCCAAGCTTTTCTTCCAAAACTTTTTTTGTGTCTTAGAAAAATCAGTTGTACAACATATTGAAATGTTCTTTTCCTCTGGAGCCTGGCTTTAAATTCTATGTATGATGTCTATAGTCAAGCATTTCTAAACAAAAAAATAAAATGCTTTATATCATGCAAGTTTAAATCAAAGTAATGTGTATAATTACTATTCACAGATAAAGAGCAAGGTCATCCATTATTAAAAGAAGGGATCCACTGCTTAGGAACACTAGACCCCACAGCTAGTACAGACTCTTCTGATGCCAGTGATTGGAAGGGCTTTGACTGAAAGAGTCAACCAAGCTCAACAGTGCTCTACAAATTACTGTACCAAATTTTCCAATTATGTTGTATATTGTGTATGTACTGTTTACAAGAGCCTTAGCATGGATACCATCTGCAGAACCACTGCTATTGTCATTTCGACTTTAAGTAATATCTTTTAATTGAGTAATGACTGATTATAGAAGAATATATGATGCAATGATGTCTTTTACAAGAAAGCCATGAAAAGAAATCAGCATCTATTGAATCCAAAGGATGTGCTGTCTGTCTGCAGTGCCTAGCAGTATTGATATCAGCATGGAGGTGAAGTTGGTGTTGAAGTTCAGCTTCCTTTTCATGTTCATTTATTTGTTCTCTAATATTCAGACATTTTATATTTGTTTGTTCTAAGCGTACAATTCTGTCAATACAAAAGTACTTTTATCACCAAGAGCTCCTATTTTATAAAAAATAATATACAGTACTTCAGTAATTACAATTTTAACAACAAACAGACAAAAACCAATAGGTTAAGCAGCCTAGTATTCAGCCAGCTAGGAAAGGAATCATTATATTTTACTAATACTGTACCAATCAAGTCATACTTGGATATGTTTCCTTGAAGTTGTTCTTCTAATGTAGGGAGATGTATGTTGATTCTGGATTTCTGTTGAGAGCACTTAGGAGGAGACAGCTAGTTTTGAAGACATATATGATGGTGCTGAATGTCCCAGATGTTGCACAAGTGGCTTGAAAACATAGTTGAGTGTCTTCTAGATTATTCATGGGCTCTAGCACATTGCATTCTTTGTCAAGTCATTGTTGCTGTCCGTTGCTGTAATGTCAGGACAAGTAGCAAATTCAAAAGTGATAAGGGGAGCCTCAATGATTATGTTGATGAGTGGTGGGATGTTAGTGATGAGCATTAATTTATAAGGTTGATGTTGATAGTGTGTCATGAAAGACCATGAAGATCAGCAATCTGTTGGTGTGTATGGTTGTACTTTCAGGCTGACGAAAATGGTTACAATCAGGTGGGATGCATTATACTCCACCACACAGAGGTAAACCAAGGAGCACCATTAAGTGGCTGTATAAATGACTTAAATAAACAAACAAACAAAACAAAAACAAAAAAATCAAACAACGTTTTTTACTCAGAAGTGGGCCAATTAGATGTTAATTGAGGTTTGAATGCGTGTCCATAAATAAAACTAAATGGAAATGGTTGGTAATACAGTATGCAAACAAGTTTTTCAAATTAAAGATTCAGCTGCAATGCATAACAAACACCCAGGAAGATTTATTACCCAGTGATTGGTATATTTCTTGCTGCAGCCAAGAAACCCTCAGAAATCAGTATTTTTTTCTCCCCAAGGGGTTCACAACTAAAGGGGCATTAATATTCCATGGTACTGTTTTATATGTCTAAAATGACAATGTAGTCGTATTTAATTCCATGCATTGATTTCTTTGTATAAAGACTGCCGCCTGATTCCTAAGAGAGAAAAATCAAGAAACAAACTTATCCAGTTCCCTCTCTTGCAAGACTTTCACAGCAGCTAAGGATGTTCCAACACAGCCTTTGTACGATGCTGCAAAATGTATCTGTTTTTAGTCTTCAAAGCGTCGCTTTCCAAAAGATCGCTCATTTCTTTCACCAAAGCAAAACCCGCCATCTTGGAAATGTCAAAGGGCGTTCAATGGATGTCATTTTATGAAACAAAATGTATGGAACAAAAAATTAATGGATTTCATGATCAGTGACAAAATGGTGTAAATAACCAATGTCACATGATACGAAATCCACCAATCAAATGACAAGGATCTATTTAGGTGTGTTATAGTATCTGCTGTAGCTGGTGGACATTCCCACTCTTAACCATGTAATGTTGAAATTCTTTGAACCACGCTTTTATCATGACAATGGCTTTCTCAAGCTATTGCTAGTCATGTGACATATAGTGGGTACTACAGTAAATGTAAACATCCACATCGTAAACCACAGTGAGCGCGCTCATTGAACACAGTATATTGAGAGTGTTATGATGTATTTTAGAGAGCGACCCAAAGTAAAGTAAGGCAGTAGGCCTATTTTCTTTTTAAATAGTGATTTATAATTATTTGGCAATCTATGTGCATTTTATTTATGCTCTAGAATGCTGCTATAGTACACTAGGCTACATACAGTTAGGCCTATAGGCCTAGGCTGCACTGTGAGTGTTTAAACCTTGACCGGGGCCCGGAGCAGGAAGGGAGTTGTTATGCCTCGACTATATATGTCTGTAGTCGAGTACTGTAGGTAGAAAAATAACGCTTAACAGTAGCTTAACCAAACTTGTGAAACAGGTTGGTGATAATAGGCCTGGTTGGTATGGTACATCCTAATGCATACGTAATAATAATATGTCATTAATGATGATCATTATCCTCGGCAGTAACTACAAACATCCTATGATTAGATTTTGGATTTGAAGGAACTGTTAAATAATTACTCTTGCAACGAATTGGGAGATTCGTTTTTGTTTTTTTTCATACAGCGATAGCATTTGCCATGAATAATATTCTTGACTTAGGCCAAGGCCTAAAAAGTACCTCAGCCAGTGACGACTCACTGGAAACCATATGCACGTCGTGAAGGTACCGTACCTTTCCTTAAAAAAAAACTTCTAGGTTTTATTCCCACTATCCATTGGATAACTCGCATTCCAACCAACATTTGCAACATCTATGATGCAACTTAACAACAAGGCGAAGCCATATTCAATGCACTGTCGTCTTGCAATCTCGATAGATGTAAACAAAACCACTAAAAGTCATGTGACCGGAGCCACCGATTTGGTCTATTCATCATTTAGTTTCTGCTAGGATTTGGGAGGTCTTCTGTGTCCATGATTTTCTTTACTTCGAACTTCAGCGCCATTTGATTGCTTCCCTACACAATCTTGCCTATCCACACTCTACAAATTACAGTTTCTCCTCTTTTGTCAGTATAGGTTTAGGACCATGTGTCGACTCCCATAGAGTGTCTGTTGATCTTATCTTGTAGGGTAGACCGGGGATGCTCTACAATTTTGTGGTTGCACTCAGGAATATCTTGCTAGTGATGCATTTTTAGTTTTTCAGTTGTTTTTAATAAAAAGTTGTCAGGCAGCCTTAAAGAAAGTTAATTCTACTGTATACATGTAGGTATTACAGCCATAGTATATCTGATCAACTCAATGATAGTTAGTACGGCACCGTATTCGGTGTACTGTTCCAATGATAAAAGATAATGTTGAACAAGGAAGGTCATGTCTTATTTACTTACAAAAATGTAGTTTTATTATTCTCCTTTGTAATCTTGTGACCTGGTAAAATACTTTTGGTTTCATGCACTCTTATTAATTAATCATATCATTATTATAATATTAATGGAAAAATTCAATTGTTTGATACATAATTCCAGGAAAAAAATATTATATGAAACAAATGTCTATTTAGAATGTACTGGCGGTACGTTATAAATGCTCACATCTCTGGATCTACTTATCCTAGGGAAGCCATTCAAAGACCAAATTTGTGATCTACCCAAATTTATTATAAACTCAATTTTTTATTTTCCAACCATGAGACTAATATTTTGTGGTGAGACCTCACATCTAATTAATTCACCATTCAAACCTTCAAACAATACTTTGTACTAATAAGATACAATTTAATTTTAAAAAGCAATTTTGTGAAAGCTGTAAGACTTGAGTGATGAGTTTTAGTCCGATGCTTGCTTCTATATAGTGCACTTTATAAACATATGTGATTTAGATGTTGAATGTGAATGTTTGATGCAGGATTCATCTTTGCAATGAATTCACAGCTACGTGAATTTCTACCACAGCCTTGCTGTCACTCAGTTATAATGTAGTGTATGAATATTATAGAAATACAGTTGGCCTTCTGTTAATGGCAACTAATGTGAAGCAATGTTGGCATGATATGCTTTATAAGACTAACATCATTATTATTGTGATTGTTATTATTGTTATTTTTATTTATATTGTTATTAAATACTATTACTACTATTATTGTTGTTATTACCTTAATTTTTTATTAATTTTAAGTAGTTTTATTACTAAAGTCAAAAACGCAGTACTCATGTTATTGATGAATATATTATGATTTATAATATTAATACATATATTACTTTTCAAATCTACTCAATATATAATGAACATTATTTTACATTATGGTATTTACGACATTTACAAGTGGCTGTATGTAATTATTGATGCAGATGAAGATAACATATAATGTGTATAAATATATGTTGCCGGAGGGTTTCTGTATTTCAGTATAAATTACAGGTGTATCTCGATAATATATTTTTATTTTAATCTTGACCATTACTGTAATACAAAGAATTTCACATATTTCGCTAACCTAAGTAGTAGCTGTCATTGAACTCTGTTGATTGGTTATGATAAATGATAAATGCATATTCATGATTATTTGGCTGAATACTGGGACCTCCTAAATACTACAAATATAAACAATAAACACTCTCGTCAAGTTGCAAGAAGTAATTCCAAATTGCACCATGGTCTTTCTATTCGCTTGTTTCCCTGTTGAGTGAATCAGTATACACGGTGGCGTATCTACATTGGGCGCACACAGTTAGGCACACATCCCATCCCACTGAAAATTTGCTAAGCAATACAAAATTATGCTCAAATAGTTAAAACTCACCTCATATCACCTTTCTAGCTAAATTCCCTCCCATGCTAATACTCTAGATACGCAACTGCATATACAAGTAGTAAGTATATGTGCTGTGGCTCTTTGTATCTATCTTTACAAACAAGTAGATATCCATGTTTACATACTAAATTTAGTACATGAATGCCTGATAGTCTAGATATATTTATGTTCTGACATTCCATTTGCAAATTTGTAATGTGACATCTTGTAAAACACATTCAAAACTGAACATGAATGTTAGTGTAATTGCACACAACATTCCCAAATCAGTTATTTTTGCCAATTGGCACCTCATATGAAACATATGTTGGAGTACAAACTGGTTTATAATTCTATTTTATGATGTTCCAAACTTAATGTAATTTTTAATTTGGCCAGGCATGACAGTATTTGTAAATAATTTTATATATAAAGCAATTGAGGTCAACAAATTAGGTTTTCCATATTTGATTACTGTTTATCTCTGTTTTGTTCTTTCATGTATTACATATTGAAATTGGCATGTAAATGTCGTTAAGGTAGTACTTAAAAATGCATAAATATAAAGCAAATTAGAGATGATACATAGATAATAAGTGTATAATATATGGATCTATGTGTATATATATATATATAGATAGCATATCATGTTGGTATATTGTGCCCTATTTTATGGATTCCATAAACATTTTAATGAAAAGCAAGTTTAGATTTTATACATGTTTTAAACTACTACCTGTACTGGGAAACGGCTATTTATAATTATCACCATATTTACAGGTGTGCATTTGTTTTACTACCACTTCCTTCTGTGAAAGTGTACATGGAAATGTATATTTTTAACATACAACACCAATCGCCAAAACTAGAATGCCTGTCATGAAAACTACTTTGCTCAAACAAATATTGCAGATTAATTTAATGAACATTGTACCGTATTCAAAATTGTACTACTGTACTGTATTCTGTCCTTTCCCTCTCCTGTTTAAGATTGCTCATTAGAATGTTGGTAATTGTGAATAGCCCTGATTATTTAAGTGATGTGACTTTTATATGAACAATTATATTTCAATATGTATGTTTTATGTAATTTAATTTAAAATGGTTAATTATTTTTGTTTATGTATCATACAATTTTAAAAGGATCAAATTTACATTTTAATTTAATTTTCATCCTTCATAATCTGTTTCTGGTGGGAGAATATTATGAGTTATAGAAATATAGTTGAAGCTGAAGAAATGGTAATTTTAAAATTAAATATTGTTAATCAATTCATTCCCATGTCAGTAATAAATCATCGAATCAAATTAATTTCTTTTTGATAATAAATTGGCTCACAAATCAATAATTATATTTTGCTTTTTATTATCTACAGTATTTCCTATCTTCGTGTATTTCCATTTGTACATTTTGTATAAAAATATATTTGCGATAATCTCTAACAAAAACTTCTCACTTTTGTCATTTCCTTACCAGTTAATGAAATTATACTGTTTATATAAGCTTTTGCATGGACCACTAATTAGTTGATCAATTTGAAAATTTTCATTGTACATTTTTCATTGAGGGGGGTTCACTAAATTAAAAAAATTTTCAATGCAAAACAATGTTATGTGCTACTATTTTGAGACTATTGTGGAAATAGTAGGTCTACATGTATACTTAAAAAAAAAATACAAAATTTCCTTTAGGGGTTTAAATTTTGAATGGAAGCTAAAGCCGGTGTGGTTAATTATAATAGAACACTGTTTTAAAGCGCCAATAAAAAAAAAAAAAAAAAAAAAAGGCTTGTCTGGAAGATGTAGAAAGGGAAGGAGCATGTTTATCAATAAGGGAACAAAGACATATAATGGGGCATGACCATGGATAGATTTCTGAGTGAGATGCTGCAGATGGATAATCAAATATCCAGGTATGAGAAGCTTGGTTTAAAATGTGATTCAAGGACAGGACTTTTATTCATAAAAACACATCAATGAGCTAATTTAACTTCAGCATGGGTGGTTGTGCCTACTCAATCGTGAGATGGGGGAAGAGATACATTTTTTCAGCGGTGTAGCTAGGTGCGAAAGGGCCCCAGAAAGATTAATTTTCGGGCCATTTGATGTGACACTATAGGGGAATTCTCTAGTGGAGGAATTTTCACAGGTGGACAGAGGACCACCTCAATTCGCACCATGTAATAGTTGCTAATCTGGGAGCAAAACAATTGGGATCCGGCAAGTCAAAGAGGTCCGCGAAAAA